TTCCCGACATGGACTGGCCGAGACCTTAAACTCACTCTCCCAAAAGTGTAGTCAAATTACTGTTTGAAGAAAGAGTGAATGAAAACACGGTAACTTTTAGTGAAGCAAACAAGCTCGCACTAGATGACATGTGTGTGTTGTAAGCTACACTCTTCAGAATTCCCTTTAACGTACGATGAATTCTTGAGTGCCAAAAGAATGGACAGTTAATAAATACGCTTATGCCATACCTTAGTGTACTACAGGCTAACGCGTGCATAATGCTCTTTCTAATTGACAAAGGTAGAAATGATTGGGTATTGTAAAGCAGACATGAGACAGTTCTCAATCGTTGGCATATATATGACATGTGAGAGTTCCATGAGAGGTCACTGTCGAAGTTAAGGCCTAAATACTTCGCGGAGCTAACATATTCAACAGGTGTGAAGTTAGAGCATGAGTAATTGGTGTTGTAGAGAAATAGCTGAGAAGTCAAGCTTACATTTTTAAAAGCTATGAAAGCAGACCAGCTTCGTTTTTGAAGCATTTACCCGAAGCTTGTTGGCGAAAAACCAGTCCGTTAATTTAGCGACATCGATCTGAAGCCTTTCAATTGCGCGCTCGTACACTAGATGTCGAGAAAATATAAGGGTGTCATCGGCATATTTAAATATTTTGGAAGTTGTGATTGAAGTTGAAATATCATTTGCGTAGATGTTAAAAAATAATGGAGACAAAATAGAGCCTTGTGGAGCTCCGGAAGTTAGGAAAGCGAGGGAGCTGCGTAGGTTACTAACTGAAACAACTTGGGTACGATGTATTAGAAAACTTTTTAACAATGCATGAAATGGGCCACGAAAGCCCACTCGGTAGAGCTTGTCTAATAGGATATTATGGTTTACGGAATCGAACGCCTTGGCAACGTCGATAAAGAGTGCGCACACAAACATGTTATTGCCAAATGAAGAGTGTAGAATGTCCGAACATTCTTCAAGAAGATTAATGGTACCACGGCCAGTGACGAAACCGCACTGATGTGGCGAAATTATACTGTATTTCTCAAGAAACCCAGACATAGCAATAAATATATGTTTCTCCATGATTTGTGAAGCGCCGGACAGTATTGAGATAAGCCTGTAGGATGAGTAATGCGGGTTCTTGGGCGAGTTGGTACTGAAACTTGGAGAACATAATAGCGCTTCACGACAAAGACGAAGAGTAGAAACGAGACAGACATGTCTCGTTCCTAATCTTCGTCCCTGTCGTGAATCGCTATTATGTTCTCCAGGTTACTGTAGGATAAAACCACCGAGGAAAAAAGCTGCATCATGCAGCTTGACGAGTCCCCGGCCCCTCTTTCACACAAACAGCAGTGGCACAAGAAAAATAAACCAGACACAATGACATTCAAAAAGTAATCCGGCGGCTCTATTAATGTTTTTAGTAACATGATACATATATTGAGAGTTATGTGAAATCATGTACACAAAAAATATCATACATATATAGATTTAGATATATACACAGAAAACACGCACTATTATACATCTCAAAGCTCTCGAAAGGACTTCTAAAAAGCCACACTGGAAAAAAACAATTCTCGAATATCTTTTCTCGGTGACATAATAGAATCAATACTTTTGGAGCTAAGAACATTAAGTAGGTTTGAAAGCGCATAAGATAACATTTGTTTAGCATAGGTCGTTCAATATTGGGTAACTTCCAATTTTGCAAACTTCGAGTGGGGTAAGTTGGCACTTTTGGAGCAAGAGAAGCCAGGCCAATCAGATTAATATAATTTTTTGTACTTAAATTTATGACACACACACAAACGATATTTATATATACTATTAACATTAATCAATTTTAAACTTTTAAATAAGAATGGAAGCACCGATATTTCTCGGCCCTACAGGAATTCACGGATTAATCGGAGTGCCCAGAAAATGAGTAATTAAAGCATGAGCGGGAGACATGTCTACTTATATATAAACTCAAACTCGTCTTGATCATTCTGGTACCCCCGAAAAACACAAGAGCATTTTGTTTGTGCAACACATACGAACCCAGGCAAAGTTCCTTGTAACCAAGCATAGCAAATTGTAACGCACGCATAATACACGAACGCCGTATTCTGTGATCGTCTGTTTTATCAAAAGGATCAAGACAGGCTCGCGTTTTCCAAATGTTGCACTTATGGCCCTTGATGAAGATTCTCGCTGCTTGCTTCTGGGTTTTCTCCATACAGCATGCAGACGTCTTTTCTTTTAATATCACAGTTTAGTCCCATCTTTTGTAAAACCTACAAACGTGTCTTATAGGTATACCTTTAGTCTGGCACTTTTTCACGCTTTTCCTCCCGGAGAGGCGCAAAAAAAGTTTCAAGCCCAATAGGACTTTATGAAAAGCGACAAAGAGCACTGCCTTTATTTTCGTTCTTAAAAAAAAAAAAAAAAAAAACTAAAAAAACGCGCTATGTTCTTTAGTTGTCGCGCTGTGGGTGGCTGGAATTGTCTCCTTTAGTAGCCGCCACTACCCCACACGGAGCGACTAACCACGCGCTTGCACTCCTGAATGGAACGCGGCAAGTGAGGGTAAAAAAGAACTTGTTTCACGTGAACATACCTATATTCGGTGACAGGTTTAAAGTGAGGTGGAAGCTCCCCCCCCCCCCCCTTTTTCCACATCAGAAGAGCGAACGCTGGAAAGGAAGTGACCTCCCCTCCAGCATTTGCTTTGCTCTAGTGGAAAGAGGTGGGAAGGTTTTCCACTTTACTCTTAACCTGTCTCCAACTACAGGAAAAAATGAAATGTAATAATTGTGATTGTAAAAATTATACTTTATAATTTACCTAACCGACGTTTTTGAATGTGCAAATTCAAAGACGCCCCAAACGATACATATTCTAACTTTCTATGCTCTATTGTTGCAAGTAGAGAGATGCGTCGTCGTTTTGTCCGCCATTCTGTTTATATTTTAAATGGCATCTACTGGCAACCAAAGGGCCCGCCTTCTACTTTATTCTATAACGAAATTGTATTAAATTCGAAATGTACCTTCGTCCATAAACAGGCAGAAACGTGTTTCTGCCTGCGGCTGCTTTGCTTAACTAGTAGGAGCTATCCATGTTAAATATAGGCAATCATCTAGGGCGACTATCAACGAACGCGTAACAAATGTTCTTCTCATATGCCGTCGTTATGTTACCCTAACCCCTCAATAAACAGTTTCAAGAAAGTATTGCGAAAACAAACAGTTTGAGCTTAAATTGTTTTCTTTTGAATAGTTTTACATTAGCCCAAAATCATATCTGATGAAACATATGTTTCTCTGTAGAAGTTTAACATCTTTTGAAAATTACCACACTACCTACGAAACAACTTGCGACCGCGTAAGCCGTGCTACTTATTGACGGCGATAAAAAGAAAAGATACATCACCCAATCTTAGCGTGTAAGGTCACCAGGTCGCGAAATAACGGTTACCAACATCCACATTGGCACGTGACCCCTAGTGTTGCCTTCAGAAAATCCACCAAACTAGGTTTGAGCGTCGTTTTGTAGTGATTGCAATACGTCTACCCTGAGCCAAAATGGCCACAGGGCGTGCATGCCCACAATCAATCAGCGAAAGCGGAACTCTGTCTCGTAAGTGCGCGTGACCCCGCTCAACTCGGGAGACGCAATTCTTTGGCTGTGTTCCAAATCTTACCCAAATGGATCGGAGTTACTCCGGCGGATCGTGTCACGTGATAACACAGATTAAAAACGCTGGACGCAGGTAGGTTTCAGAACACCAAGGATACAAAACCCTTACCGTGGAGTAAGATCGAGTAAATTTTGGAACACGGCCCTGGTCTGCGAAGACGCTTCCTGGGACCTAACCAAATAGCCGAAGAGCGGACAGATATATAAACACCACATGAACAACACAAAGCGCCGGATGCTCTCCTGACTATTCTCTAAAATGAAAGTTCCAGGACATTTAAGCAGTCTTTATGAGTATTGAATCCAAAAGCATTAATGTCTTTCTTCCGCTCCCTTAGTTCGTCTGTGGCGTAGTGGCGTGGACGGCCATGTTTCGCAGGCCGACAGCCGAGCGCGCGCCCTCGTGAAGTGGCAGGGCCGCGCTGAGCTCGGCCGTGCACCGTCTCCGGAGTTCGCCCGACGGGGCTTGCGGGCACCCCTTCCTCTTACCGGCGGCCGGGTAGCTGCGTGCGCTGCGCCGCCATGGAGATTGCTTCTCCTTTGACGTCTTTTGGAACTACGCCGCACGAGAGCCAATAGGAGCCTCGTTCCTTGATGACGCGTGCCAGCCAATGGAAGCATTTCCATCAGATTTCTCGTACAGACGACATTGGGACCGGGGAAGCTGCCGTTTGGCGCGGCTTCAAAGCTCATGACGCCGGTTTGCTCCATGGACAGGTAAGGCTTTAGCATTAATAAATAAAAACGGCCACCTCTCTAGCGATCTAGCGGTGGCGAGTTCAGCAACATTGAAAGGCCGAGTAAAAAGGGCGTCTATGCCTGCCAAAGTGCGACGGGTTTACCTTTGCCGTGTTGACATATAGCTGCGGTGATGTGTGCCCCACAGAGGCTGAGAAATGACTGCCGAACCTTACGGTGCTCAATCTCCGACTGGCCCCGCGCGCCCGCCCGTCACCTGGTGCTTTGTCTTCTTATTCACTTATTTTCCTTCCCCACAAGCTATACCTATTTACCTCGTACTAGGTATGAGGGGCTAAACTTGTAATTTTCATTTCTGTACTCCGATGAAAGTCATGTTTCTCAGGAATAATTTCGTGTAAATAAAGAATAAGTTGGTGCGCTTTCAGAATTATTTATTACATGATGAACGAACCGGTACAATGTTCGCGAAAAAGTTTTTATTTATAATTGGTTAGAGATCAACAAAGGCTAAGCTATTATAAATAAACAACCAAATTAAAAGTGGTTGCTCTTCTGCACTTTGGGGGGAGGGGGAAAGGGGCGGTAAGTTTAAGGGGGAGTTGACTGGCTTCTTTAGAAGACTTGCGGCAGTATCTTTGACTTGGTGGAAACCATGCCGCACCCCTCGGGACAAACAATTGGCAGGAATTCATCAGCGTTGGTGCAGGTTTCGACCCTGTCATAAATCTTGTATGCCGAAGAAGTAACATTCTCTTGCAGTGGTATTCCTGAAATACGAATAGCACATGTTCTTCATTTAAACTTCCTTATCCGAAAAAAATTTCTAAACATTTCTTTTAACTAGCTCGACCTCTGATGTATTGGGTAGAATACTGTTTAGTTATTTCACCACCCTCTTTCATTCCTCAGTAATATTCATTATTAATCATGGCAATTCTATAAAAACAAATGCGTGTTCAGTGTACAAGCATTGGACGTAGTTTTGTCGTTAAGATTAAGTGACCATAAGCGTGTGATGGCGCTCGTGATTGTCATTGGCTTAAACGATAAACTTTGAAGCATTAATTGGTATACTGAGCGCACCGAAGGGACTGATGCATGCAAGATATTTTACAGGTAATTTTTTTCTAAACATCTGCCAAAAATATACTGAAAGAAAGACAATAAGAGAAAAGCGTAACCTTCCTACATTGAGCTAATCCTTGGAAATGCAAATTAGAGGAACATAAAGTACGAAACATAAACTCCAGTCGAAAATGTTATTTGTATACGAAAATTCTTGGTCCTAGAAGCACATATGATCGAATAAGATTATATGAGTAAATAAGAACATAAAAGGACAAGATAAGAAGTTATAAGTAGCTTTTTGATGTTCCTTACCTTTTTATAATGTTCTTGTAGGCTCTTATAGTGTCTTATTTAACAACATGCGCTTATTGGGCCAAATAATTACGTATGGAAATGCGATTTTTAACTATGGAAACGGTAGCTATCTTCACACTGTGTAAGGTACATGATGTATGAGGAAGGAAAAATTTAGGCAACGCGAAAAAAGGATTTCACATGCTAAATTTTTAATTAGCCTCCTGCCGGCACAACGGAAAATATATAATTGACATTTTTTTCATGGACATTACATTTAAATCCTATTTTCATATTTATTTTATTGTATTTGGAATATTCCTACATTTTGGCATGCAACTATTAAGATTTGTAAGAGAGAACAAAAAGGAGATCGAAATGGAACTTTTTTCGACATACCGAATTTCACAAAGTATGCCATCTCTTTATAAGGCTCCTGCAAGATCGTGAATGTCTCATAAAATGTTTCTGAAATGCAACAAGAAAAAGATGTCAAGCTGCGTCACTTTTCTGGCTCGGTAACTAACTAATTTTCTCTTGATTACGTGCAGTCATGTATCAGAGTTAATCGGTTTAAATCGCTAGTTAACACACAGCCAGGAAAATGAAGTCAGGGGCAGTTGGTAAGCAAAATTTGTTTGAGTTTAGTCATTTTCAATGTACCTATTTCGATTTTTTTTTTCAGCCAGAGCAGTATTTTTTTAGTTACACTTTCGTTCGTTGGTCATCACGCGTTGAATGGTGACTGAATGGCAGCGAGTTTGCGCTTGAATTATAGCGGAGTGATTACTTCGTTTGCAGGTGATTATTTTTTTTTTTTTGGTTCGGGTTCTAAGACGATCCCCAATTTTAACTACTACACTTTTCCCCAAATGTAGTTTTTATTAGCTCAGCCCCTTGTCAAGACTTATAATTATGAAATTGATTTCTAGTAAATGTGTTTAGTAATAACAAGTGCATTTCTGCTGTACATACTTACCATTAACCTTTACAAATACCATCCTGGACTCCTGATTGTAGCAGGTTTGAAAAGTCGACCTATAATTGAGAAATTCTGAGGTTTCAGCTTAGGCATAACAGTGAATTATCAAACCGAAGTAATGTATTTTGATTGCCACCATCCTACATGATCGTGCGAATTGGTTATGCGTAACTCAAACATGAGTATTATTCCTACGAACACAATGTGTTCCAAACTCTTGCCTTTGATAAGCTGAGCTAATTAGAAGAAAAATTCGCGTCCTACTCTAATGGTCAAGCGGTTCGATTGCAGAATGTGGTTGACACATTTTTTTTAATTCAAGAACAGCGTACCATTATTTCGCAAGACTGTTAGGCCATCTCGATGTAACACTTTAATTGGTGAAAAATAAATTTAATACAATATGCATTCGAGAAAACAGGCAGCACGTGCATGAAAAAAGTGTAAGAAAAAGCCTGGGCGAAAAAAATAAAAAGGGCCCACTTGAATTGTTAGCTGCTTGTGTGGATAATTAAAAGTAAATAAAACCATACGAGATAATTAGATCCCCACGAATATAAATGTACACTCTAACAATCTGCGAATAAAATTACCTGCCAGCATCACCATCCCGGTGATGGCGCAGCCCAACACGGAAGCCAGAAATGGCCTACAATAAGCAAAAAGCGTAAAAGTTTGTGTGGGTCGCCAAGCATCAATTAATTATTACGGCTGAGCGTTTCTTCCAATAAACGTATAAAATATATCAATGAATAAAAATGCAGCTTTCTTTCTCGCTATCACCCATTAATTAGTATAGAAAACAAACAATGTTTAATGTTTCAATCTCTGTGACAACAGGTTCAAGGACTGCATGGCATGATATTTTTTTGTAAGACATGCACTGGAAACAGACATGAAGGTAGTAAAGGGCAGAAATGACTCGGACAATAATAGTGTGTTTTTTTGCGGGGGAATCGACTCTATACGCCCGCCAGAACACAGTCTTCACAGTAATCTACAAGTCATGTCTTGCCAGCCACAAAGCTTGCGCTTTTTTCTGATTGGCCGCCATTTTAGCTTTAGTTTTGCAGCTCGTCGCTCCAGGATAAGCAAGGCGGGTAATTTATTTCGCAGAATATTTCAGCTGATTTTCACATTTGTGTCCATATCGTTCAAATACCTAGCTTTTTGTCTTATTTTAGAATACCACGCATTTATGCGACTTTTCACGTAGACAAAACCTATGTTCGGAAAACAACACTTTTATGAAAAATGTCGCAAATAAAAATCACAATGATGTACTTTTTGCTGCTTCCGGCTGTTCCGTTTTGAATTTCCCAAATTGTGGCCTGAGCACAATCGGTGTTTCCAGAAGTTCCATCCCACAGCGCCGAGGTAATAATGGCATGTCCCGTTTCAAGCACGGTTCCATTGCGGAAGCATTGGTAAAGGATAATAGGAAAAGACTGGATCCTCTGAAAAAAAATTAGTGCGTGAACATTAGAAAATTATTTCCGGGTTAACCGCTCCATGACGTACGTCGATCTGGTGGTTAGCTCAGTTTGGTCACGCGTTTCACCACTAGAATGGGCGAGCGCATTGCGTCGCTACGGTGATGCGGTCTTAGTCGCGAAAATGCGCCCACTTTTTGCTACCGAAACTATGGTGCCAAGAACGCAGATTGCGAGTCTACCGGCCACATTTCTGGTCTCTCAATTTCTGCTTCATGGCATCATTGAAGTCTAATGCTGCTGCCTGCCACGATCCTGGCCGTGGCACGGCAGGCGGAGCTGTATACGGCAGGCAGCTGTTTTGCCACAGGGTGTTTCGAGCTTGACAGAGGGAAACTTTAGGAGCCACGAGTTGAGATGGGGCGACGACAGCGGCACCTTTATTCAGAACTTCTACAAACTAGTGGTATGTTTCCCCAGAACTTCTATAACCTAGTGCTTAAATCGTGGCTTCCGATCCTAAATTGCAGATCGGGTTCACGTGGTGCATGGATTCTGTTTGCAGTATGAGCTGTGAGAAGATAGCAAAAGCTTTCATCGCGTCAAGCACCTATGCCTTTCCGCCTGCTTTTCCCATCTCCACGAGGCAACGCAGCACATGCGCACTTGCGATGAATCTCTGAAGGAGGCGTCCTCCATTGAATCGCAAACGCTCCTGGTGGTTTCAGATGGACTTTCTTTACAACCCAGACTCTCTAGCATAGCACGCCGTCTCCTGTGACGCAATTTGTGGACCCTTCGGGGCTACTTTCGACACATGTGAGACATAAGACGCAGAACTAACCAGTGACAGACACCGTACAGAAATTTCATTACTAGAGAGTTTTAGGGAACCGTTTTTGCACATCCGATACCGTATACGATGGGCCCTCCGGTACAAACTGCGCATGCGCCTGTCTTCTGCGATCTTATCGTAACGCGCTGGTGGAACCGTAAGGCACGACCGGCACGACCAATGGCCGACATGGACAGTCTCGCTTGGTTAGCAAAACAACTATTTCGCTGGCGGGGAGAGCGTGCCGGTGCTCCAAACATGAATAAAATAAATCGTGGCAGTGCCTGGCAGGAGCGCCATGTGTGACAGCAAGTCCATAAAGTTTGAGTCAACAAATAAGAAAAAGAATAAAGAACAAAACGCAATAGCACTTTTACAATAGAAATAAATTGGTGTTTAGCGTAGCCAAAAAGCGTCTGCTCGGTAGGTCAGTGGATTAGAACGCCGATTTCTTGATCTCGTGGAGGCCCGGTAGTGGAGAGTTCGAATCACTTTTTTTTTTTTGTTCTTTTTATACAAACATCGGATGTGCATTTTGAGCACTTATCACCCGTTTTTTACAGCTGCTGTTATGACTGAGGATTATCTGAAGTGGCAACAGAGTGAGCAACAGCCTTGTGCATCAAGGCTCTAGATACTTTTTAGTTTAAAAATGTTGCATGAATTAAAAATTTCTGTACAAATGCTAATCACATATATCCTATAAAACGAGCCCTTTGAATATTGGGTGATAGTTTTAATAAGTGTACAGCAGTAAAGTTACAGGTTTTCCTTTATATTTTCATCGTGGTCGTACCGTACACGGCGCAACGATCGGTACGCGGGCGTGCGACCGTGATCGTCTGCTATCTGTACCGTAAGAGAGCAACATGAGCACCGCATCTACCACCGTCCCTCCGCCTCCTCCTCGCAAGCGGTTTACAGCAGTAGACATCTTTCTACTTCGGGAGGTGCTAGGCGCTACACCTTTTTCGCTCTAGAACTTTGGAATGACGCAGCGTTGAAAAAGAACTTCTCGGTGCGAGGAGCGAAGGAACGGATAGGCCTCCTCGTAAATAAAAATAGAGATTTGAGACGTACTGAAAGATACGGCATTCCAAAAATATACACACTGTATGGAAAGAAAAACAGAAATCATTACATTCCTTCCTTATTTAACGAACTCCCAGAGTCCCTTATGAATATAGAATCCACTAGGGTATTAAAAAGGAAACTAAGGAATTGGTGTCCAGCATCTGAGCTGCAGATATCGTAGCCTAACCGTTAAAGATGTTTCGTACTTTTATTTCATGGTTGCGTGAGTAGACTTGGCTATAAACACCTATATTTCATTCTCTAAAGTGTTCCTTTTTGTATGTATTTGTGCTGCTACTTTTGTGCTCCTTTCATTTTTTTTGTGCTGCGGAGTGTTTTCTTTTTTTTTTTGTAACAACATGTATTGTAGTTGGTCGCCTGGCGCCACATACAAGCAGAATAATGCTTTTGTGGGCCAGCTCTTTATTTTGTATGACTTGATCTTAAAATAAAAATTGAATTAAATTTAAAATTTAATTGAAAATTGAACTGAATTAGCTTCGTACAAGAAAAATGGCCGCATCAACTTGAGAAAGCGAGTATATTTTGGTTATTTTTGTATTTTCTTCGAGATTTAATATTTCTAGTTTTATTTGTCCATGGCTTCCTTAATACTCGATGCTGCATTATGCCTCGAGGGAAAGAGACAGGATCGCTAGCAGACGACTTCGAATGTTGATGATAAGCGCGCGCGAGCGTGCTCCTGTGCCAAATCGAGTTTGCTTTCGGCAACGTTTCAGCATATCAGGAGGTGGTTGGTGTAAACATCATATTTGGTTGATATAAAACACCGAAGCTTGCCCGCTGAGTACGCATGATTTATTAGAAAACAAGTTACCATGTACGGTCGAGGCATTATTTTATTCCCCAAGTATATAAATCTGGTAAACTGAAAGAAAAAAAACCCAAAATACGCTGGCACATCATTCGTGGTATCCGCACTTCATTCCTGGTATCACAACTTTTCTGTTTACTCAAAAGCTACGCCAAGTTGAACGTCCTATGCCTTGCCGCCAACAAGCGGCTTCTCTTAGTGTATCGGTGGCACCCGAAAGAAATGCGACTGACTCCGTGTCACGGCCCACCAAAAAGAATGTTTATTCCCTCGTGCCCTCGCACAAGTCACGGGCCCCACGGCACGCGCGTGCGTGCCTCGCTTATAGAAAGCGGGAAGTTCAAAAGAGACTCACGCCACACTTAGTGCGCAGGCAGTCGTACAAAATCACTTTTTCTGAATTTCTTTCGCTGAATAGAGCCAACTCCAAGTCATGGTCAAAAAGATCGAGCGCCATTGTTGTCGGAAAGCTCGTCTGCTTCTTAGCAGACGAACATTTTAGATTTTGGTTGTGCCAGGGGCGACACGCTGTGGTGCGCCAGTTTTTGCAGACTTGGACGTAGTTCAACTACTCTACTCAAACTACCGTAGTTTAACTACTTTTTCGAGTAACTTGGTAACTTCCAATTACAACTTGATTTGGGTAATTAGTAGTTTAATTTAACTACTTTTTTCAGGTAACTTCTACTCAAATTACTAACTACTTTCGAAATTCTATAGTGCTAATTTTGCCCATCACGAAAGTTTGAGCGCAGAAATGAATAAGACGCCGGCAGATAAAGTGGCATTCCCGAACAAGGGGCCCCCTTGTTCGGGAAGGCGTCCTTGGGCCAAGGTGGCGACGAGCAGCCAAAACATAACACCGGCACGTACGAACGCAGGAAGAGATGCTTAACAAGCCTTGGTCGGGCACTGACCTAATCCGGTAATGCACGCAGGCGCCGCGTTTCCAGCTGCAACCATGAAAGACGAGGACACTCCAAGAGTTGTTCTTGTTTTCGTGTTGTCTGTCTTTATTGAGTTCTGACTCAAGCGGCAGGTTCCACGGGAGGCGCCACTGGAATGACCTCGCAGCTGGGCGCCTGTTCCCATGGTCGCGTTGTCGTCAGCGCATATGCCTTTCCAAAGCCGGACTCCCCCGCGCACAAACCCTGGCACGGATAATCCGTTCATGGGAGCACGTTCCCGCTTCCAGCTGCAACTATATACGAGTGACGATGCTTGTTCACGTAATCCTTCGCGTCCTTCCGACCATCCATGCCTGGGCGACCTCCTCTTTGTTAAAAACGATTTACTTGTCAGGCGTGTCAGGCGCATCAGAATATTGTAGTCGCCGGGGAGGATTGCGAGTTACCCTTTTGAGATCATTTTGTTGGACCCGGCGTCAGCGGCGAAGTATACTTCGGTTCATCATCTGTTAAACCAAAACAAATTTTTTTTTTCCAGTAGCGTAGCACTAGCACTACAATGGGACGCGCAGTCGTCCGGATGATCTCATCGTCGTGGCGCGAGACTTGAATCCTTGACGGTCTGGTGCACTCGCTAAGCGTACTCTCAGAACGACGTCGGAATAAAGAGAGCCAGTCATAACAATCTCAACTTGACGAAGAAAAAAGAGAAAAGGAGGAAAATTTGTTATAAAAGTTCCTCTACCCGAGGCAAACCTCACATGTTTAGTCATGGACACCTAAGATGCCGACACTCGCTTACCCGACCCTGCACAGCCTGTTTCTCAAATTCAACGCTGCCGTTCCATCCAGCCCGTCGGTGGAACGTCTATTTAGCTTGGCTGGGGACGTCCTTAGAAGGAAAAGGGGAAAACTCTCCTATCAAGAACTTTGAAAGTCAATTGCTTCTGCGAGCGAATAAACTATTTTGGCGAAAACGCAAGCCATAGATAGACTGCATTCATTTTAGGCTCGCAATGTTTTTCATTGATCAAAACTGCTGTTCATTTTGCTACCACAAAAATATAAAAAAGTAACTTCGAAAGTAACTTCAAAGTAACTCGCTACTTTTCTACAGTGATTAGTAGTTTACTCAATTACTATTACAAATGAGTAATTTCTACTAGGGATGTCGCGAACCACCCTAGGTTCGATTTCGAAAGGTTTCGATATTTGCGAAGCGAACTGAGGTTTCGATATTTTCGTACCGACCGAGGTTCGATTTCGAAAAATTCGCAACTTTTGTCCACAGCGGAGTTTCGAATTCGAAAAGTTCGAAGCCTTCACGGTTTCTAAAATTTCGAATTCGAATATTTCGAATATTTTTTTACTTCAGGTTCGATAAATTCGAAGATTTCGAAATTCTGTGTAAAAAAAATTCGAAAACTTCGAACGCTTCGAATTTTTATAGACATGAAGTTCGAACAATTCGAAGATTTCGAAATTCTTTTTGCATAAAGTTCGAAAAGTTCGAAGGTTTCGATTCTCTTTAAACGCTAAATTAAAAAAAAAAAAAAAAAAAAAAAACTTTGGAGATTTTTAATTTTTTTTTAATCCCAGTTTTCAAAGTTCGAAGTCCGATTTTCAAGTTTTTCCACAGTTTCAGTTTCAAATAACGTTTTCACGACTCACTGGTTTTCACGAAATCAAGTTTAGAAAAGTTAGGGTGTGATATCCAGATTCTGCGAAGTTGGTCAGGCAATGGACTACTTCCAAAACCGACGCGCCCCATCGCGGCGAGATTCCACGCAGTGCACTCTGGGAACTAGTTGGCCACTCATTTTCGGTTTCGACTGAGCAGCTTCACCTCATGCTATCACTCCGCGACCGAACGCGCTGCTTGCGTTTTCGATTATCTGACTTTTCACGAACGTACAATAGACTCATTCTCGAACGATACAAAACGAAAACCGGGGCACTTTCCTTGCTTCCCGAAACACCGGATATTGTGCGTCCGTATGCGAACGTAGGAAGTCGTGGCTTAGTCACCTCACCGTACGAGTGCATGTTTGAGCTCAATTTCAATAATCCCGTCTAGTACCACTGAACTAGAACTGAAATTTGTTCATCTGGAGCCTTATACGTATTTTGCTTGCCAAACGTCCGTTTCTTGTTACTTCATTGGGCGAAAAGAAAGCCGCATCCTCACAGGGTATCAAAGTTGAGTTCAGCGTTTACGCATGAACTTTTAAGGAAACGCAATAAATTCGACCTAACTACTGCACAAAAGTTACTATGATGTCTTCCTCGTGTCATCATATATCTCCCACTCGAATTTTATGCTGGTAGAAGATTAATTTCTCGCAAATGCTGAGATCGGCTAGCTACGACGGAGGCCCTAACAAGCGTCCCCTACTCCTCGCTAAGCCTTTTTGGACGAGCTTTTACTGACGCCCAAGATCTGCGCCTGAACGGTGCGTCTGAAATTATCTCGGCATACTCAGGCAGGAGAAAAAACAAACACAAAACAAATATTATGGCCATTAGCAACCGTCAAATGCGCTTTAAATTCGTTCGAGCACTTGTGTGAAGAATGTCGCACCGTGCGCCGGACGGGCATGAACCCCAATGTGGTGCGCATAGGGGTTCATGCCCGTCCGTCGCACTTCCGGGGAACGGTCCGACACTCTTCACACAAGTGCTCGACTTTTGCTTTTTCAAAACGGTCTGTATGTGCGAATTTGCCTATATGATTGCAGGATAACTTTATGTGCATACGCGATGTTGAATATTCATGGAATGCAAGCGGGTGGGGACTTCACTTCGTGCAGTGCTGCGGGTCAGTACAGATAAGAGATAAGAAGTGTGTCAAAATTGGGCTTTTCAATAGCGCCTCTGAGTTTTACCTCGCATACTTAGGCATATTAAGAAATACAATAATTGCAAAAAGTAACATTTCGTCTATGGACGCACGAAACAAACAAACTTCCTGATCAACAACATTAATGTAAAGGCGCGAGCTCGATGTATGCATACTTATTGGTTGCTACAGCTTGTTGATTCGTATACAAGCAAGATCCCCGAGCTTCGCAGCGTCGAGATTCCCAGCACTGGCTCGTCCACGTACCTCGATTGGAACGCTAACAGGAAGGCTCAAGTACAAAAATACAACAAGCATGTGTTAAGACAAGCTATACGTCTCAGGCTTGTGCTAAAGCTTCGAGGCCTGGCCATTTAGGTTAGTTTAGAGACCACAAATGACGCTCTCGGGACCAGAAAACCATCTCTTGTCGACGTGTCGATCGAAACCGAAACCATGCCACCCTCCTCCCTGGCCAACTAGTTCCCAGAGTGCAACGCGCGCCGTGTTGCATGCAGGGCTTTATGGAATTAGTCTATTAAATGAGACGACGAGTGTCCCGGACGTCCTAGAATATTTGCCAGTGCAGAATTGTGACCGCCAGCCCCGGGGCGGGGGCCTTTAACCTGCATCACGCAGTAGTGATTGCACGAACACACTGTTTTACGAGAGTCATCCAGTTCGAAACGGCCAGGGGCGAGCAGGAGGTTGAGGCTCAGAAAAACCTTGAAGCGACCTGGCAAACTAGCTCGCCACCCCTTGCACGCTGGTAGTAATCCGATCCGGTGATGTTTATAATTGTCCTGGAGGTTTATTTTCTGGGACGGAGGAATCGCCTCGCAAAAAGCACAAAAGCCGACACAACTCGAGGTCGAGGAGCGTTCTACCATAAAAGTGGCGTCGGAAGAGGAAAAACGGGGGGAAAGAGGGTAGCGGGGGGGGGGGGGGGGGGGCGGGGGCTTCAGCCTCTTTTTCCCCCTTGCAGGTATTTCGGACTGTTAAAGAAAACAATACGGGGAAAGAGGGCGTGGTCGAGCTTATTTTAATCTGAAATTATTTATGAATATGTATAGCTAATGTCGCTCTTCACTGCATAAAAGGTTGCGTAGATGGTCATTGTTAGAAACTCGTTGTCAGAAGGCACTGCTCGTCACATGCTTAGTGGTTCGGAAGTTCAAAGCTGTCTTTTCGACCTAAACACCTGTGCCGATAGTAACAAAAGAAAAAAAAAAAAAAGAATAAATGCGGGCATAAAAAGCAGGAGAAAAAAAAAACTATCAAGAATTCGTCGGAAGTGTTCTATTCTTGCATATTCAGAGGTTCAGAACTTCGAAACAAGTTTCTTTTACCAAAATGTGTGCAGGCTAAAAGAAACACGTCCCAGGAACGTGAAGCGAAAAAAAAAAAAAAAGTTTTCTTTTAATGACGTGCTGAACTTGAACACTACTAGAAATCTTCTCCCGTGAGTTAATTTATTCCTTAACGTGAAAAACAATAAATATATTATTTTGTATTCTGCAGATGGCAATGATATGTACTGTCTGTGGTGTTAATTTAAATGCGATACCTCAAACAACTTAGACGAAAATAAATATCAAGTTTAAGTCATAATTGCATGCAGATACATGTTTGGACATTTCTTCGAAACTCACGTTGAATAACAATAATCACATCTTAAGACGGCACTTACCTAGGCTATACATAGATCATTATTAAAAAAGTATAATTTATCTACCATGAATAGCTCCGGCTGCAGCGTGCTTCAAATCTGGCACAAACGATAATCGTCAAAAACCCGTCGTCCTTCCTCGCCCCTTCGGGGATTTATTTCTTTAAACCTAAGCATGCCAGAACATTGAAATAAACGACATTGTCTTTCGTAAGGAACGCAGCACCGCGTGTAAAAGTTCGAGAAAAAAAAATTACGAATGTACCCCACTGCTTGAAATCAAATGAAACCATCCGCCGGTCTTTCGAAGTTCGACGAACGTCGAACTTTTACCCTAAAAGTTCGAAGTTCGTCGAAATTCTGACTTTTCAGAATTCGAAAGTTCGAAACTTTTCGAATTCTCTTGATAAATAAGTTCGAAATTCATCGAATTTTTTGGTCAGTCAAGTTCGAAAGTTCGACAAGCATCGAACCTTGCAGCGCAATAAATTCGAAAGTTCGAAAAAGATCGAATTTTTTAGCGTAATAAGTTCGACGGTTCGAAAAGCGTCGAACTTCTTAGCTTAACAAGTTCGAAAATTCGACCTCCGTCGAATTTTACCATATAGACAATTCGAAAAATCGAAATCTTTCGAACCTTTCGAACCGCTTGATTCGATCATCGAAACTTCGATTCGAAAAAAGTTCGCGGCATCCCTAATTTCTACTCTACTCCAATTACTTTTGGCGTCGATACTCAGTAACTTAACTACCTTTTTTGAGTAATTTGTACATGTCTGAGTTTTTGTATTACGGAAGCGCATTCATTCCAGTAAAAAAACGAGACGAATTATAAGTAGGTATACTATATTTTTGGTTCTCTATATAATTATTGTGCGATCTTTATTTACTTGAGTTCCGGCGATTTGTACAAATACGCGCAAATTCGTCTTTTCTCGATGAGGCGGATGCAGGTTTCCGTTGCCAGGGGGCGCGACCTGTACCGATCGTCTGCTATCGTCTGCAAATACGGTTCCCCCAAAGCCGTTTCAGGGCACACAATCGGTCCACACGCCCGATCCAAGGTATCGATCGTTTTTGTTTATCGATCGTATTTTGTTCCGGTTCCCTAAAACTCTCTACTATTTTAGCGTAATGTCGATCGACTACTTAGTTGGCTTTACCAATACAGACGTAACAAAGTTGGGTGTTCTGATCGTATCGCGTTGCTTTATGAACTTAGAATTATTCATGTCATGACTTGTTAGCAGTGCGGAGTTTTTATGCTTAACACGCTTTTTGTTTTAATAGTTCACTACGCTACTGCGCTGAAAAGCGTAGCTTTGGTTGCGTTAACGAAGAGCTCCTGGACACCAGAAAGAGGGTAAGACTGACGTCACGTCCAAGCAATGCATATACGTGGCTTGCACATGACGTCATTTCCGATGCCCTCCAGAGAAAAGCGGAAGGAGCTCCCCTCTTATCAGGATCCTCCTTTGTGCCTCCAAAATAAACACAGACGTCGCTGTTCTCCTCCCAGAAGATTGTAGAAGATTAACCTGTCACTCAAAATTCTTACAAAAGCAGCTTCCCTCTCGTTCCTTTACATTGTGTTCAAAAGTATGCGATGTGACGTCAGTGCAAGGAGTCTATAGTTGGCCTCAAACTTAACAAAACGCAGCCTGCTTGAAGATGTAGAAATTTATAGTTTATTTTCACTTTGCAAAGCGTGTCGGCATCGATTACATTAGTCGTTCCTTGAGCTTTATCACCCGTCGAATATCATTTGGTAGAGTTCTATTATCTTGGTAGAAAGAAGAAGAAAGCACGCATTACCTCATAGAACTTCGCAGTTGGGTTTGTGCCGTTTGATTCACTTGCTTCTGAGCACGATTTTCCGCCGATGAAGGCGAGCAGGATCGAAAGTGTGACTGATACCTTCATTTTTTTTATGTTTTGCTCCCAATCTTCGTGTGTTACCTACAATAAACAAAAATATACACTTTACAGTTTATCCACTTTTTTTTTTTTTTATTTGAGCAAACGCTGGAGCCGTTTTTTGAGAGAGATATTACATTGGGAGTTATAAGGGGACTTGCAAATATTTCATTAAACAAAGGAATGTCGCGAAACAATCGATAAAACTGACGCACTTCTACGCGCTTAGAAAATTTGAGGAACACAGAACCTGATCATCTGAAAAAGTAGAACGGACAAACTGTCCGTATGTAACGTTACGGACCAAAATCCGTCAGGATTAAGACAAATCATTTGGTGTAACAATAAAATTATTTTACAGTGTGAGATAAAAAGGCGAGGAGATCGATCGCGGAGCTGCCACCCCTAGCACATCACTAACCGCTACTGCAGGTTTCATTGGTGGTTGCACCCGCTATATACTTTTGAAAGTGAACGCACGGATACGAAAATATGAAAGTACGCCCGATATGTCCACTTCTACGATAACATGCAATTCGTGAACCGCTACACTCCGACTCACCGTACGATGTGGAACATCGGACACTGCAGGCCAACGGAGCGAATGTAATGCCCCGCGTGTTTCACGCGACCATTGGGAGGTCACGAGACAAATTTACAACGACGAATTAACTGGGATGGCTCCTGACGTCCGCTGCAGTCCGCCTGGTGACGTCACGGAAGGGTCAAGCTGTCGCCGGTCGTGTCGCCCCAGAAGGAAGCTTCTGGGGGTGACACGAAGCCACCAGAGGTGAAGCCAGAAGTGTGGAGGGACACAACCCAACGATGATCGAAACAGCGGTGGTTTTGGTCATCGTTGGTGGCCTGTCCCTCCACACTTCTGGTTCCTCCTCTGGTGGCGCCAGGTCACCTCCAGAAGCTTCCTACCTCCGTGTGTACTATCGTAGACTCTGTTAGTTGTAACACACGAGCGGCGGCAGTCTAGGGACGCTCTAGTGAGGGTGGGCGCAACTGCTAGATCGAGGGTCAAGGGATATGAACGCCATTTGATTGCTACATATTCCTGGGAGTCTACGGGGCAAAGGGTCGTTTTATTTTCGAACTCAGGTCATAAGAGTCCATTAACGTGCATGAATAATTTTACGCAAGGCAAAATTATTACTTTTCTTTGGCCACCAGTTTTGTTCCGATAGGTTAAGTATTTCCTTAACGCGAAAATAATAAATTCCGCTATCTTGGACGCTGCTGCTTGTCTGGCAACCCTGCTTTCTCCTCCCGATATTTGCGATTCCCGGAGCGAGATGGAAGCAAGAAAGGCTATGCTAAGGCATTCGTTGCTTGCAATGCAATGGGAAACCAGAGGAGGAAAGGAGCATGGGGCAACAGGGTTGCAACAGAGCGGCCGTCTGCTCTCGTGCAGGCAACATTGGCGCACATCCTTTCCCAATCTTCTCCCTCAGGTGCCGCCATTAAATTGAAAACGCTCTCCAGGATTTGAGTTGCCCTTAGTTGCGCTCACCCTGACTTGAGCCTCCCTACGGCAGTCCCGTATACCCCCAGCGGCACAGAGCAAGCGCCGTCCGAAACTCCGCGCATGTGTCGTGTGGCGGACTCGCGTTTCCCCCTGCGAGTACCAGCACACCCTCGCTTCGTCGTCTGCTCTGCGCCAAGCAGACGACGAAGCGAGGGTGTGCTGGCACTCGCAGGGGGGAAACGCGAGTCCGCCACATGACACATGCGCCACGCCACAGCTCTTGCAAATGTTCGGTGAATACGGTTTCATGTTCAGCGAATTAGTGCGTAAGAGGCGCCAACGGTTTCGTGGGCGCCTCTTACGTGGCGGTTGATTCCCTGATTCACGGAAATCTGCCCGCCGGCCTAACGATAACCATCGTCACTAATTGTATGCATCGCGGAAGATTTTTTTTCTCTCGGACAAACTTAGTTAACTATATGTTTCTGTATCACGCCTGCTGCGCTCATGCTGGTTCGCAAACGCGTGTTGTTGAAGCATGCATTGGGCACGCCAGTTTCTAGAAAAGCATCAAAAAGAAAAACGTAGACAGCATTTATGTTGAAATCACTCTGAAATCTGCCCCAATAAACATCACCTCTCGAGCATGAACTCGAGACCAGTTCGCTATGGCGAGAGTACAGCTGCAACGGAAAAACGTTAGCACAAGTGAACGATGACCAGAGCGGCAAGATCACGACACACGGCGCTATTGTTCCTGAGCGCACCGATAGCGAGACTGCCTGTCACGTTCTATGTCTCAACGCGGGGATGGCCGGCAGAAAATTAAAAAATAAGATAACTTTAAAAATGCGGGCTTTTGGATGGGCTTTCTGCCGGCCACCCCCGCGTTGAGGCATGCGACGCGACTGTCACTCTCTTTATCGGCACGTTCAGGAACAATAGCGCAGCGTGTCGCGATTTGGCCGCTTCAGTCGTCGGTCACTAGTGCTAATCCTTTTTTGCTGCATCTGTACCAGACGAGTAAACACGGCTGATAGTCAATCTTTGCCTAAAAGACTGAAGAGTATTCTCAGCAAGCGATAACAAAAATGACCGAGTCACTCGAGTTACTCGAACCATCGGGCACCAAGGGCGGATAAATGATGCTGCACGCACCCCGGAAGAGTACGGTCGTCGGTTGTTTGGCAGACACGTTTCTACGTATCAGGGAATCATCCACCGTGCAAGAAACGCCCGCGAAACCGTGTTCAGCGACCATTTGCACGCTCTCTAACGTAGTGTGCTCCGCACCTAGCCAACACCTCCTAGATAAGAAAGCCGTAGTGCTAATAGAGATGTCATCAGCGACGGCCCCGTCGCTGCCGCGACGACACCGACACTCGCGTTCACTAGTACCTTTTGCTTGAACTACTACGCCTAACTGTCAAGATCGCGACATCACACAGCACAACACTCCGGCTTTTGTATTCCACCCTGGCATTTTCAATGCCAGGGTGGAATACAACTCTAAACACACCAGCCGGAGACGCGTTCCAGACAACGTAGTGGAGTTTATAGTGAGGACAAGAGGAAACCGAGCTTACCTAGTCGCTTTTAGCGCGAGCGTTGTTGTAAATGGTCTACGCAGCGCTTCTGGACGCGTCCGAAAGGCTTCAAGTTTCAACAAAGTGGCACGGGGAGTTGGCCCTCTCTCTCTCTGTATCCTGGCGGTCACAGCGTGAAAGGGTTGCCACCGCTACGCTCAAGGAGGAAACTGGTTTTACGAAACCGGTAAGCGTTTTCGAAGTAAAGCCTCTTGATGCGTTCGTGTTAGACAAGTGGCGTGAAATACACCCATGCACGAAGCCCCTGCCCGTCTAACTCTTGGAAGCAAATGGCGCTGCAGTAGTGAAATGAGCGGCCCTCGTGACCAAAAATTTGCAGCAAGCGCTTCTGGCTCACTTATCTGTCCCCACCTGGCACATCCGTCTTTCACTTTCACGCCGTGTGCAAATTCCCGCCAAGGCAATGTCTGTGCGTTGTTAAAGAAAAAAAAAAACAGTAACTCGAATGACAAAAATAAAACGAAGTATGAGATAATGAGTGTGTTCCGGTTGCAATATACTGATAGCTTTATCATTATCCCTGATACCATTCACTTAGGAACTTGCAGTTTACACGTCATCATATTTTGTCATAGAAATACGGTTAACGACAGAATGGAGTAGTAGCATGGCAAATTCTTAGAAGCGTAGCGTTTCGTAGGTATGACCATATTTGTATATTAAGTATATGGGCTTTTACGGGAGCACTGCCGCAACCCGCTTAGAGATAGCGCAAGCGTACGATGGCAGAAATTTCTTGGGATGCTAGAGCAATTGGCCGTGAAGAACTCGCTCGTGGCACGTGTCTTGCACTTTTCTACAACAATGGTTTGCGGTACTTGTAAGAAATGCAAACCGTACATTTTATTGATGGGCTTTATTTTGAAGCTGTTTTTCACGCAAGTTTGGTGGAGTGTACAAGTGGGTATAGCGCTAGGCTGAAACAGAAAACGGTTGAATCCAACCGGTAAACGGTCTGGTTACAGAGTTAAGCCATAAGTGAGAGCAGGTTACCTCTGTGGTTCAACGGGTACCCGTTCAAATTTCAAATTGTTTTATTTTCTTTATTAAAAATATAAATATAAAATGATTGGCGATTTTATGAGTCGTGCGGTCTTCGTTTTCTTGGAGAATGAAAATATATATGTAAAGGTTGCCAAAGGGCACGTCATAATATTCAGCGAGCGTAATGAATGTGTCTTATCCTTTTTTCGCTTGCAGATGTCCAGGCGAAGAGGGTAAAAATGTAAACTTTTACTGCGATCAAAAAGCTTCAAGGCTAGCTTTGTGCCGTAAAAATAGAGGGCAGGACGTTGATGCGCTCGAAGACGTTTATGCCAGGGACTTTCGTGTGCCATCATGCGCCATTTTGTAGACATTTGGTTGGAGCTATGCTACGCGAGGTTTTGTGACCACATGCACGGGCACACGAACGATTTCAGCATGGACAGAAAAAAGAGCGAAGTGCGAACATCAATTCCAAGTCAAACTCGGCAAATATAAAACACAGACTTTTGAAATTATTTTGTCGGCTCATGGCGAGAAAGCCGCCAGTCGTGCGACGTGTTTGGATTGTCACTCTCGCTTAAAAAACAAAGCAGAATATTAGTGAAAGACAAAGACAGGTGTTGTGACCTTCCCCGTCCTCTCTTTCTCTCAGTCTTCTACCATAGCCTCCTCTATGCGGAGAAAGCCTGGCACATCGACGACGGAGCCATAGGGCGCGCGGCCGCAGGAAAAAGGAGAGGAGGAGCGCGCCGAACGGTGACCAATATGGTAGCGCAGAGCAGAAAGGGCAGACCTAGACAGCGAGCGCTTGGGTCATGAGCGGCCGCTCCCGAACCACGCTTGTTTTTGTGTTTTCGTCACCGTCGTTTTTGTACTCCGGGAGAAACGGGCGCGGCGATTCGAAAGGGCGCAGGGAGAAACGGGAAAGAATGGACGTT